GATCCACACATGGCCATCAGATGCTAGGAATTGCCACCGGCAGATCCACATACCGTGGTTAGTATTGATTTTAAACCTAGCTTGTTCCTGTTGATACTTGGCTCTCTGCTGTTTTGCTCACTTTGCCTCCACAGATCATAATTTTTCTCAGTACAGGAACTATCTTGTATCCTCAGCCTTGTTCTACAAGGACATTTAATATGATTTTGTGCCCCCAATCATGCTGTGCACACTCCATTAAATCTTTATATCATTACATGACATGATGTTGAAATTATTAACTCACCTCTCTTCCTGTCTTGGTAACTCATGGCCCACCTCCATTCAAGCATCTAGACCACAAGCCCCTGCAGTGCTATGCAGGAAAAGTGCTCTTGACTTTGAATACCCTGAACCCTGAAGCTGTCACCTGGGAGTCAGAAGGGACAGCCCTGAAGACCAGTGAGCCCCTATGTTGTTCCATATATCATTCTGGAACTGATAAAAAGAAAAGATCATGGTCCTGGGATGTAGTTTGTCTGGGAATCTGTAAAGGCAGCCAAGCTGTCTTTGGCTTCTGGGTGATGTCAGCAGAGCGTTTGAGGGGTACTGGCTGTGAGGACTGTGCCATGAGACTATGGCTGCTCAGGAATCAGCTGAGAGTGGACAGAGCACATGAGAATGTGTCCATTTATTTCCTGAGTGTTTTTTTTTTATCTATTTCAACTTTTAAAAACTGTAAGTAGACCAAGGAAAATTTGAAGGTCACTCAATTGAATTTGATCATTTAAAATACAACTTTTCAACTACAAAGCGTTTCACACAACTTAAATCCCTCTAATCCCAGCACTTGGGGGAGGCAGAGGCAGGTAAGTAAATTCAATGCCAGCCCAGTCTACAGATGGAATTCCAGGACAGCCAGGGTTACACAGAGAAACTCTGTCTCAGAAAACCAAAAAAGAAAAGTTTGAACATCCGACAAAAGGATTTGTTGTTGTTTTGGATTTCTTTGTTTCAAGACAGGGTCTCACTGTGTAGCTCTGGCTGTCCTGGACTTCAAACTCACAGAGAACCACTTCCTCTGTCCCCCAAGTGCTGGGATTAAAGGCATGCACCACTACACCTGGATTAGACAGGCATGTTTATGATACCTCATTTTCTCAAAGGGTAAAACAACCTAAATATTAAATTAAGAAATAGTTCTCATTATTTGGAAAGTAATACCTGCCAGGCTGGAGAGATGGCTCAGCTCTTGAGAGCACTGACTGCTCTAGGGTTCAATCAATTCCCAGCATCCACATGGCAGCTCATAGCTTTCCATAACTTAGTTTCTGGGGATTCATACACCCTCACACAGATATATTAGCAGGCAAAACACCAATGCACATACATTAAAAATAAATTTTTAAAGAAAGTAACGTCATAGCTGCTCACTTTGAATAATTTGAAAAATTCACAACAATAGCAGGAAGTAGCCAGTAATGAGCCTAACTTGGTATTTCCCCCGACTTTCTGTGGTTCTTATCTTCACTAACATCAGGAGCATGATCTACACAGATTTGTTTCTGTCTCTTCACTTACTACCTTATGGCATCCTTCCATTATTCTCTTTAAGGTCTAAAATAATATTTGAATGCTTAAATGGCATTAGGAAAGTTAACATTCTATCATTATATGTATATAAAATTAATTATCTCCTCATTTGGGGGCTTTCTCCTATTTTTGCTACTGTAAAAGAGTAATGCAAGCAACAAGTTGCATTTAATTTAGAATTTAAAATCCGTGATTATTTTCTAGCATACAGAAAATACCACAGGATTAACCAAATAAAGGGAGCTGACCATTTTAATGCCTTTAAAGTCTTAAAGCCTATTGTAAATCTAATGTGCAGGTTTTTTTAATTTTAAAATTACATTTTGTGTGTGTGTGTCCTTGAGTGCAGAGGCCAGAAAAGGGTGCCAGATCCCTTAGAGCTAAAGTTTAAAAGGTAGATGTGAGTCATGAGTACCAGAAACTGAACTCGGGTCCTCTGCAAGAGCAACAACTGTTCCTAGTCTTATCTCCAGTCCTAATGTGTAGTTTGATGATATCTATGAAGTAACTATTTAATTACAGCTCTAAAAGTCCTGGATACTAGCATTTAAAAATATTCTAGAATATGCTCATTAGCATCATTTTTATGCTATTTATGCTAATATCAAGTTTATGCATTTGCTGTACAGTTTCTCTTAACTAGTGATTAGACTGAGCTGGGTCATCATTTCCTCCAACTGGTTAAGTTCACTTAACTGTCACTAGTTGGCCATTTTCTGGGTCACCTGGGTGTTATTGCTTCCTTGGTGTTATTGTGCCATTGTGTGTGTTACTAACACATTCCAATAGTTTGCCCTGTAATTTTAAGTATGCAATTTAACAAAATACTGTGTAAAACACTGTTCAGAAGGGCTTCCAAAGGCAAACAGGTCAGACAAGTAGCTGCTGATCAGAGGTTAAAAAAAAAAAACCCCTGTCCACAAGGAGGAAAGCAATGAAGTGTGGACCAAACTCATCCCTTTGTAAATGCTTCCAGGTCATACTCACTTTGAGGAAACTAGAATCAGAAATCTTGAGGCCAGTGGTTTTAGCAGGGCAGTAGTGACCCCTAGGGGTTATTCTGGAGACAGGTGGAGGCCATTTCCAGTTGGTTTTTACTAGTGGCATTTAGTGCATGAAGTGCAGGGACATTTGACATCCCAAAATGGTCTGCACAATATTTAACCCCAGAGCATTCATATAGGCAAAAGCCTGTTTTTTGTTTTGTTTTGAGTTTTTTTCTTCTCTCAAAGAAGTGAATCCTAACCAGTTTTGGGCTTCATATCTCCCCACCTCCCCCCAGCCCCCACCCCGTTTTTCAAGACAGGGTTTCTCTGTATTGCTTTGGAGTCTGTCCTGGAACTCACTCTGTAGACCAGGCTGGACTCAAGCTCACAGAGATCCACCTGCCTCTGCCTCCCGAGTGCTAGGACTAAAGGTGTGCACCACCAACACCCAGCTGGTTTTGGGCTTCACATAGTTCACTTTCTTCTAAAGAGTACAGTGTAGAAAAGGAGGTGGGCAGAGGAAAAGGGTAATTTGACCTCAGCAGGCCACAAGGTTAAGTTATTGATGCACACTGAATGCAAGTGCCCTCAATGAGAGGGCATTTTACCTGCTGTCTTCCACTTAAAGATATATAATTGCACTTTCATCATCGTCATCAAACAAAATCAGAAAACCCCACTGTGAAATAGTCTAAAATAACTAATACACCATAAAACTGTTGGTCTTGCAGAACATAAGGAGATGAGAGTTGGGCTAAGGAACCTTGGGAAATGTTTTCAATCCTTTCCCTGACAAGTGAGGGTTCCTAGGTTACTTTCTCCCTCGAGACGTCAATCTACACCCAGCACTCAGACATCCTTGATCATAAACAGTATTGACCCAAAGAGGAAAACACTAAGTGATAGAATGAGAAAGCTGGAAACATCTGGAGTGCTTGCTGTACAAAGCCTCTATCAACCCTTTCTCAATCTGCCTCAGTGCTTGCTACTTGGGCCTTTCCATGTTAGCAAACGCATCATAGGAACACAACCGTCTCCACAGTCATGTTGTCAACAGTAATTTCTATGCACTGTGCTATGGACAACTCTGGAGCCCTTCCAAACTCCTATGTCTAAACCTATTCCCCAAATGATATTTGGAGATATCCTAATTAGGGTTTTTATTGCTGTGAAAAGACATCATGACCATTGGTAACCCTTGTAAAGGAAAACATTTAATTGGGCCAGCTTACAGTTCAGAGGTTTAGTCCATTATCATGGCAGAACATGGTGGCATGCACGCAGACGTGGGGATGGAGGACCTTAAGAGTTCTACGTCTTCATCTGTAGGCAGCAGCAAGTGAAGTGTGACATTGGGCGTAGCTTGAAAATATGAGACCTCAAAGCCCATCCCCACAGTGACACACTTCCTCCAAGGCCACACCTCCTGTAACCAGGCATTCAAGTATGTAAGTCTGTGGGGGCCATACCTATTCAAACCAACACAAATGAGATCTTTGCATGCAGTTATGGTGAAGCCCTCTGCAATGGGCTGAGTGTCTGGTAAAGACAGACATGAAATAACTTCTACCATGTGAGAACACAGACAGTGCCTGTCTACAAATCAGGAAGAGGACCTTTGTCACACACTGCATCTGCTGCTGCCTCCATCTTGGATGTTTCAGCCTCCTGAAGTGTGAAAAATGTTTACAATGCCTAGTCTATGGTATTTTGGTAACATTAGCATATTATGAGCTACAATTACACAGTTTGTTAAAAAGTGAGTCTTTGGCCACTGGCTCTTTATTTAAGCCACTTGCAGTACCAATCCCAGGACATGTGTGCAGGTCTGCAGAAGACCAGCACTCTCCGTGGCTGCGCTAGAGTACTGCCATCTCACCATGGAGCAGCAAGCTTCTTCCCATCAAAACTTTCCAGGCAAGTGTATTTGAAAGTACACTGTTCAGATTCCTGCCAAGGCCTGGCCACAAACATTTTTCAATGCATGTAGTAATGAACTTAAAGAATAAGGGTTATCTTTGGAAGTCTTTTTCCCCTTAGAAATAAGGTTCAAATTGATAGATTAATTGGGTAGGTTTCCCATTTGGTGACTGTAGTACTGGACATTCGATCCTCCTAAATTCCTGTGAGCCACCTATAATATCTAGTCTTTCCTGAATGTACTTACAATTCCCCAAAATCCTTTACTTCTGTTTTTTTTTTTGGGGGGGGGGTGGGAGGCCTCGAACTCACAGAGATCCTCCTGTCTCCCGGTCTCTGCCTCTTTGAATGCTGAATTAAAGGTGTGAGCCACCACATTTCATCAACCATAGAAACTACCTGGCTTACAGTCTGTACAGAATCATGCATACCCATGGCTCAGCATGCAGGTTCAGCATGCATTTACAAGAAGACTTTCTCTTCAAGACCAGTCTTTTATAGGAAAGAACTTGCTACACAGGATTTTACATACTAAACAGCGTTAAAGGTTTATTTCAGTCAATGATTTGTTTAAACTGCTCACATAACTTCATTTCATCCCAAAAAGAAGCAAAGTGCTTCTGGTGGGGTAACAGTTGACATCACCCATTCAGACATCTTCCACTGCAGCCTGCAGGAAACTTCAATGTAGCTTGACCTCAAAGTGGGTTTTATCTTCCAGACTATAAGTTTTCAAAATGCCTCTTAGAAATCCATCAGTCAATCAGTCAGCAGGGTAGACCATTGAGCTAACTCCCGATATCTGAGTTATCACTGGAAATAATTTATCCTAAGTGAACACATGAAGACCTCGGGTGGGGAAGACTCATGTGAGCCTCACACACAGTGTCACCTAGAAGGGCCTGCACCATAGACTTCCATACTTCTTTCACTGTGGTTGTTATGCCCAGGAGCAAAGGGCACAAGGCCACTCACTCACTGCAGGTTTCACAGTAGAAGACTAACACAGGAGGTACAATGAGACATAAAAGCCAGATACTAAAAATGATGACACAACCAGGTCAATTTGTATCTAGCTGCTTGTTTTCTCACATGGTAGCTACAGTACTCATGAAGTATGCTGCAGCCTAGCCCATTGTCTACCCAGTAATACTAATCCCCTCCTTCTGCACGTTCCCAGAAAAATAAAGTTAGTCCTTGAACTTTGAAGGTACTTTATATATACAAAAAGAAAAAAATTAGTATTTCTATCCGTGTCCTTGTCAGCATGATTCAGAACTGCTCTCAAGAGTGCCTCCTCTTTTGTAAAATAAACACTATGCTGTTTGAAGTACATATGAAGTTTCATTCCTGTTCAGTGTTCTTTACTTTCCATTATGAAAAGTTATTTCTGAGGAATTGAAACCCCAGAAGGTAACAGCCCCCAAAAAGAAAAAGAAACATTTAAAACAAAACTTTAAATGATGAATCAAAACCACATTCGAGAAGTATTTAAGAAACAGGCTATAACAGATGTGGTCTCTGAGGGAGGGAATTGTTACTAATTATTATCTAAAAAGTCAAGTCACACAACTTTGTCAAGGTCATAAGATAAACTGGTACTTAAAAATTGGGTTAACTAAATACGAGGGGAGAATTAAAAAAAAAAAAAAAAAAGAAAGAAAAACAAAGCCCTGAAACAGGATAATGAAAAGGATTTCAGAATGCCTGAACTGTAGCAGAGATCCCTCAGTTCTCGATGCCTCCGGTGCCTTCACATCTTGTATCATGCGGCTGTTTCTTGTCCCCACCTTCACCGACACCCCAAAGAGCATTCTTGCAGAGCTAAATAATCTCTGCTATTTTGTTAGGATTCAGAATTTCAATCCAGTAGCCGTCAGGATCTTGAATGAATGCCAGACCTTTCATTTTACCTGTATAATGAAAACTTAATTACTAGAAAGGAACATTAAAAATCAAACACATTTTCATTACAATTTGAATTTGCATCTGAATGAGATGCATTGTTGATAACTTTCATCCTAAAAAGTTTGGGTTATAATGGTTCTCCTAATGCCTGGGATGTGACCTTCCAGGAGCTGAAAACAGCCCTGTTAAGTATCAGGTGCTTGCCTCACCCATCACTGAAATTATTTTAAGAAGGAAAAGAAGATAGAGGTTTGCTCAAGGGAACAGGTAATGTGGCCTCTTCACACAACTGAGACACCAGAGGCTTGGGTCATGTAAACTCTATTAAACAATACAGTAGGTAACCCAAGTCCTGTCAATCAGTCTGTGGCTCCTGGGGATTGTAACCAGGATAGAGCTGTTTACTTAGATGTATAAATGTGGCCTGAGAGATTGATTTATTTGGGGACTAAGATGCCGAACTTACCTGATTCGTGTGTCTGCCTCCTGACCCCAAGGCCGGGGAATACAAATAAGGGTGAAAAAGACAGTGGAAAACATAGATAAGCAATCTCCAGGGTGGTGGCTGAGGAGGAATGGGTGAGGATGGAGGTGACTGTTTTAACCTGATCCATATAGAAGGTAGTTTGGAGTCAGCACACAAGTTCTGAATGTGTGGCTGTGGGAGAATAAACAGGGTGTTTGCTTCTGCCTCCCCAAGGCAAACACCACCACCCCTGCACTTGGGAGGGGCTCAACTACTGATTCCCAGATGTCCTCAAGAGTGAAGGGGACACAGAGAGCTTGTCTAGTGAGGAAGCTAGGAAGAATAAGCCAGCTGGCCTTCCTTACTGCTCCCCCCCCCCCCCACACACACACAGGGCCAAGTATGGTGACCATGGTGACCTCAGGTGTGTCTCCTACTAACACTGCTTTGCCTTGAAGGCGGAAAAGCCTCTGACTGAAGAGCTGTCATTTCTGGGAGGCAGGAAACTCAGCTCAGGGCTCATCTAGCCTGTCTTCCTGAGATCACATGGTCCCTTAGGGACAGTCCTCTTCTGCCAGTCATGTGGCCTGATGGATTACAACAACTTACAGTTGTTGGAAAAAAATAGCTCAGAGGCCAAACTAACATAATCTAGGAACATAATTATATGGATTATAGATTCAACTTCAACATGCAGTATTAGTACAATGGACTAAGGGCTATTAAAGCGTGTAAAAGTGGTGAGAGCTATGAAGCATTGTCCATGTGAACAAAGACAGAAAATGTTAGGGAGCAAGGGATGAAAATAGAAACAGACTCCACAGAGGGTAAGGTTGACAGAAGTGGCTAAAGCATGTGCTTGCAAGCATGCGGACTGGAGTCTGGGTTTCAAGAACCATCCCAAGAAGGCAGGCAGCAGGTGGGCAAGCCCAGTGAGGGGCTGGGATCTCCAGGGAGCTCAGGCTTCAGTGAAAGACCCTGCCTTATTAAAGTGGGGAGTACTTGAGAAAAATGCCCACTGTCAGCAGAGGCCTACTATACACACACCACACACAGACACTCTCACACATGTATACATACCACACACATACACACTGCGCACATACACACATCACAGACACACACATGCATATACGGCACACTCATATACCACACACACATATACAGCACACTAACACACAGACATGCATATACAACACACTCACATACACACCACACACACATGCATATACACCACACTCACATACACACCACACATATGCACATACACCACACTCACATACACACACACACACACACACACACACAGGCACGTACACATGAATATATACCACACACAGACACACACAACACACAAAGACACAAAAGAAAAACAGAAAGATGGAAAACTCAGAATAGATAAATGTGAGAGAAAAAGTAACTGGTAAAACAAAAAGCTCCTGGAAAAAACCAGAACACAATATAAAGTACAAAGACACTGCAGGCAGCAGAGTTTTCAGGGCACTTGTACACAGAATGGCAGTCAAATAGTGTTTTCAGGAGTGAAGGAAAATGAACCTAGGATTCCCAACAGAACTCATCCATCTGTGCCTGTTTCTCATGCATCTTTCTCAGAAATCTAACCTCACAAAACTTTAGGACATAGTTCTGGCTGAGGTGCTAAGACAGGAAAATCCAAAAGATGCTTTAGGAGAAAACTGGAGTGAAGTTGTTCAAAATACTGTGCTATATATTTCTGAAAAGATGTGAAGGCCAAAGACAGCAGCTAATGTAAGCAGAGGGAAAAGCTGTTCACTTATTGAGATCCCACAATACATGTTTACTTGAAACAATTTTATTGAAATGTCTTACTTATTTTTCTCTGGGTTTTTGTTATGTGGTTACTTGGTTTTGGTTTTTTTTGGTTGTTGCTATTTGGTTTTGGGTGCTGGAAATTGAACCCATGACCTAGCAGAGTATGCTAGGCAAGGGCTCTACCAATGAGCTACTTGCTGCTTAAGCTCACAAAATGTCTCAAACTGTGGTGGCACACTATAAAATGTACTAGGGAGGCCAAAACAAGCGAATCACAAGTTCATGGGCAGCCTGGGCTACATGGCAAGAACCTATTTGCAAAATTAAAACTAAATTGTAAAAAAATTAAGGCGGTAGGAAGAGATCTAAGTATAATAATAATAATGGTATATATAAATCTATCAGAATTCAGGTATATGCTATCTCAAGACATATACCCAAAGCATAAGCATAAAATTGTATAAAGGAATGAAAAACATCAGTTATTCACTAAAGTAGGCAAAGTTAAGAACAAAACACACTTCCAAGAATTCATTTAGTAGCAACTACCCACGCCTCAAGTCCTGAAAGCTGAAAGCCAATAAGAGAAATGGCAGGGCTGGGAAAGGGGAGGCGAGGTTTCCACGGGTCTCCAGAGCCTGTGTCCAGTCCCTGGTGAAGCCACACTACACGCTCTTCCTGGTCTCTTATGAGAACCAGGTATATCTTTCATGTTCAGCTAATACTGCTTGCTGAAAAGAGCTTCCTGTTCCATACATCCAATCAGCATGACCCCAACAGCCACTTAGACATATTAACCAATCACAGCTGTGCATCCGTGGAGAGTGGGCTAACCAGACACAGCTGTGCGCCCACGTGGAGAGCAGGCTGATCAATCACAGCTGTGTACCCACGTGGACATCGGGCTAACCAATCACAGCTGTGCGCCCGTGGAGAGCAGACTGACTCACCATCATCAGGTTTCTTCACAAACTTGACTCCCAGCTCTTCAAATCGTTTACAGGCACTGTAGACATCAGGGACAGCAATCCCAATGTGACCTTTGGTGAAACCATCCCCCCAAAAACAAAGCACAGGAAGACATTATTACAAGAGTTCACTCAAGTGCCACAAATGGCTTCCAAAACAAGGCCCTAGAAAACAGTTAAACAGTTCTAAAATTACACATGGAAGGACCAGCAGCTGTCTGACTAGCCAGTTATAGTAACATAGTTGTTTTGAACTGTTATTTTAAATAAACCAATACTAATGCATAGTTCAATCTGTTTAGAATAATCTTTACCCAAGAGGTCATCAGTTACTCATGTTTATGGGTTAATTACTGACATTCACTACATAACGAACCTGAAGCCATCTGACAAGATACATATTTTTAGATTTATTTATTTATTGTATATGTAATGGGTATTTTGCCTACATGTATGTATATGTACTATGTGTGTGCCTGATACCCAATGAGGTCAGAAGAGGGCATCAGATCCCCTGGAACTGGAATTATGGATGGTTGTGAACCACAATGTGGATGCTGGGAACCAAGCCCAGGTCCTCTACAAAACAGCAAGTGTTCTTAACCACTGAACCATCATCTCTTCAGCCCCTTGACAAGACAGACACTACCAGGAAATGGGATTATTATTAACCATAGTTATCATTGTTTTCAATTGAACACTCTCCTAGAAGGAGATGGAGGGACAGCTTAGTGGTAGAATACAGAGTTTACTGGAAACATAATACTGTGACTTTACAGTATATTATAAGACATCAAACACAGTGTTTGGCCTAATACTGAAATTGGATAACTGCTAAATAAGATTTTCAGGAAATAAAAGTAACCATATCCCTAATAAATTACTTATTCTGGAAAATTAGATCATTCATGTCTTAGGTTTACTGTAAATATGTACACCATGTAGAATCACACACATACACAAGCATACAATGAGACAAACATACCAAATCCCCGAGGGTCTGAGTTGCTGTTGTGGTAACTCTGGGTCTCATCATCTTCGGTGCCCCAGTTGCTACAGAGGAAAAGAAAACAACTGTGATAGCAGGCCTTAACTGTTAACTTGAGGGACTCAGAACCAACCTAGCAGACCTCAGGGTGTGTATTTGCATGAATTCCCAGAGAAAAGACCCACCTTTCAGCTGTCCTGCATCTGTTCCTGCTACTCTCAGCTGATAGATGTCTGCCTTCCATGGAGCTCCAAGGCCTCCCACACCAGTTTACGACTATTGAAGCATTGAGATTTGTGGACAGAGCAGCTAATGGGTTCTCTGCTTTTTCTGTTCAGAGAGCCATTGTTGGGACTGCCCAACCTTACTGTGTAAGCCAATCTAATAAATCTCCTTTTATATTTACATTCTTTTTTTTTTTTTTTTTTTTTTTTTAAGAGCTCTGGTGGTTTTATTAAAGGAAGGCTTTTCTGGTTTACTACTTCTCACCAGTCTGTTCTGGCATGCTTCTAATAATATCAGAGTCACCTGGGTCAATGATAGCCAGTGTGCATACTCTGTAGTATTTTCCACATGCTGTGCCCAATTCAATGTTATTGCCACTGTAGTGATGGACACCGGTTTTAGCCAACATGGCATAGTATTCTATTTCAGATTTCCTCAAAGCCGGGCAGTTGTTGGCGAGGATAACCAACTTCGCTTTGCCCTGTCTGATCATCTTGAGAGTCTGTTTGTATCCCAGCACGTACTTCCCACTTTTCATAACAAGCTGGAGCCTAGAGTTGATGGACTCGAGGGACTTTTTCGTCTTCTTTGCGGCCACCATCTTCCTGCCTTAGGTGCGGGACAGCCCCCAACCAAGAGCAGCCGCCAAGATGGCCGGGGATCAAGAAAGGGTTATATTTACATTCTTTTCTTTCTTTCTCTCTTCTTTTTTTTTTTTTTTTTTTGTTTGTTTGTTTGCTTGCTTGCTTGTTTTTCAAGCTTTGGAATCCTAGAACTCACTCTGTAGACCAGGCTGGCCTCAAACTCACAGAGATCTTCCTGCCTCTGCCTCCAGAGCACTAGGATTAAAGGCGTGCACCACCACTGCCCAGGTATGTCTGCATTCTATTGGTTCTGTTCTTTTAGAGAACGAGCCTTGCCTACAGTAGCAACTTACAATTCTGACCTGAGAATAGCCTATGAAAGGGAACCTCTCTGCAGGGTACTATGTGTGCATGCTACTTTACCACAAATATTGAATTTTTCACCTGTAGAAAGGGCAAGCTGGCAAAGGTTAAGGAGATGGTCAAACCCAGGCTCCCAGATAAGAGCATGGATAAAAACCATAACAACTATCGTTTTCTGCACTAAGTTCTAGATGTGTCATCAAGCATCAAAACAGCTCCATGGACATGATTTGAGCATTTCCATCTCTGCCACTTCAGCAAGTCAGTCTGAATCAAGGGATACATCCTAACACAGGCATATCAAAACAAAGGTTCTTTTCTTAGTTGCTAAAAAATACAAAGAAATTGTAAAGAAATGAAGAATCACTTAATTATGAACTTTTAAATGTTGAGTTTATAAAAATGCCTTAAAATTTGAATGTTAGTTATTATAAAATGTGCTGGCTCTTTAAAAGGAACATATTCTATAACATTTCTGAATCAAAAACTAGAAAAATAATAAAAGGACAAAAATATAAATATCAGAAGATTTTAGAAGAATCTATGCCAGGCAGTGGTGGTGCATGCCTTTAATTCCAGCACTTGGGAGGCAGAGGAAGTTGGATCTCAGTGAGTTTGAGGTCTACAGAGTGAGTTCCAAGACAGCCAGGACTGTTTCACAGAGAAACCCTATGTCCCAAAAATAAAATAAAATCTGGATCTGTAAGATATAAAATTAATAATCTATAGTTTGACAAATACCTTGTCACTTCAGGGTCTTATATTCTCTAAAAGAAAACTGTTCTCTCTGCCCTAAAGAAATCATAAGATTAACACAAAGGCCCAAATATCCATCCTTTAAAAAATATTAAAAATTGATTTAGACTGGTAAGCACAAAAAAGGATTCTTTAAAATACCTTATGGAAACGTAGGATAGACAGACAAAGGCTCATACGCACTGTGTCAGCTCAAGTGTAGCTTTTCTGGAAAACGTCCATGCTGTTCTTTCACTCTTATCTTTAGGGATGTCATTCTTATCCTCATAAGCCAAGAAATAGAGCGAAAATTTCATCGAAGGAAAATCAAACTTTTGGAGTAGCCTGAAATTGAAAGCCATAGTCATTTACAATAGCAAACATTGATAACAAACGCAACATAATACTTAGATTCTACTAGTTACTTTAGTGAGAAAACCATGTAAAAAAAATTAGTGGGGAAAGGATCTCATTTATAGTTCCATGTATAAAAAGACCTGTGTCTGATCCCCAGCACCCATGTAAAAAGCAAGGAGCGATGGTGTGTGCTTGCAACGACTGCACTGGGAAGGCAGAGACAGGCACACCCTGGGGCTTGCTGACCAACAAGGGTGGCAGGTACCAATGAGGAGCCTTGTCTCAAAAACTAAAGTGGTCCGCTCCTGGGAAACAACACCCAAAGTTGATCTCTGGCCTTTATACATGGTATAGCCCCTTGAGTGCACTCAATTATTCAAATTTAGTGACATTTAGCTAGAATCACAATGCTTGTTTATAAACAGGGAAATCTAGTGTGGGTTTTTGTTTCAGTAAACAATGCTGTTCCCTATCATTCTTTCAGTTAAACACATCTACTGAGTTCTTCAGGAGATGAGGGTAGGTGGCAGGGGAGAAAGGCAGACTAATATCACAGAAAATGTGAATGTCAACAATAGGTGGGTTAAAGTCTCAAATACTGCAGAAAGGTGAAACAGGATTAAGACTTCGTAAAGGTCACGGGACATAGAAAGGTCCTGCAAAAACAGCTGCAGTATGGCAGGGCATCTATGCAGGGACCAGGCAGAAGAAGGGGAGTCAAGCAAGATAGGGCAGCTAGCAAAGCAGAGCTTCTGCAGACCTGATGCAGAGAGAGTGACAAGGAACCAACGGAGCAGAGGGCAAGAAACAGTCTCCAAAGACTGTGTGTCTGTAGGTGGAAGGGAGAGAGTCGATCGATAGGACAAGGAGACACGGGAGGAAGGATGAAGGAGCCCCGAGGTTCTAAAAAAGGTAAGTTACAGTTTATCAAGTAGTTTAAAGAACAGAAGATCACAGGCAAGCAGAGCAATTCACATAATGCCATCTTTTTAAATCACTGAGGATTAATTACGCTCAAGAGCAAGAGCTCAAAGCCTAGCAAAATGTCTGTGTGCGTGCGTGCGTGCGTGTGTGTGTGTGTGTGTGTGTGTGTGTGTGTGTGTGTGTACATGGGCACATGTATAGGGAGCTGCCATGGACTACTCCAGTCAGGTATGGGGGTCCCTGGGATGAAGGTTCTCAAAGACTAGGTGGGTAAGGATTCAGCTGTGACAAACAGAAACAAACACAGAGGCAGTTTGAATCTGAGTGTATTTTGCAGTTCTCAAGCAAGGTGTTTTTATACAGATATTTTCTCAGGGAATGTTTTTTTTTTTAAACAAACCCAAACATATGGCATTATTGTTGCTTGGCACAATGACACAGAAATGCAAAACATGAAATCATCCAGAGTTAATCAAAACACAGAATTGTCCTTGGTTAACATAGAATCATCCAAGGCTAACCCCATATTTCTTAAATCAAATTAATATATTTTTATGGTCAGTTATTGTTTAACATCTATAACCTGGTTCTTGTGAGTTTTTTGAAATACTGAGCTGTCTTAACTATTTCAACTCTTTCTTATTAAAAACTTTCTTTACCAGACTATTTGTACTTATATGAATGATGTGAATGATTTGAAAAGTGCTGGTTTTTCTGAAGATGAGGTCATGGCTAGTGACCCCATCTCAGGGGATGGTTTCTTATCTCTATATCTCTTGCTTGAAGTGTCAAATGTCAACACAGGCTTTAAGGAAAACTTGGTTAATGTGGGAAAAAAAAATAGAAAAACAAACAGAAATTGGTATGAGAATCACAGTCCACAATTTTTCTCCGGCTGAGAGTTTTCACAACCAATTCCAGGAGACCTCCTTCTTTTGAAGTTATTGCCTCAGTCTGTGGAAGTTGTCACAGGGAGCATGCATGTCCATGTAGATATTGGTAAGAGGTTGATACAGGGTATCCTCAACTGCATGTGTACGTGCGTGTGTGCGTCCGTGTGTGTGTGTGTGTGTGTGTGTGTGCATGTGTATTTAGTGTGTTTATATGTGTGTGCGTGCATGTGTGTTTGTGTGTACATCGGTGCATGTGTAGGGACTGTGCATGTGCATGCAGATAGTGGTAAGAGGCTCACATGGTATCTTCAGCTGTTCTCCACTGTCTTTCACTAACTCTCCACCCCAGAGACAGTGTTAGTAAGTGGCCCTAGCTGGACTGGAGCTGCTAAATAAGCTAACCTGGCCTCAATTGTGACACCCACCTGCCTCTGCCTCATGAGTGGCACGGCAGTCTTAGATTCTCTGTCTCCAGCAACAAAACTGCAGGTCATACCATCACACCCCACCCTTTTATGAGGGTTTGGGAGATTGAAATCTCCATGCTGTAATGGCAATCACTTCATCAACTGAGCCATCCCCCTGCACCCCAAGCAAAGTTTCCAGAGTTCTGCTCCAGTCTTTTATCTACTTATCCCTGTTATCAATATGCATGGACCACTAGATTTATACATAGATTAACTACAAATAAATTTACTCCTCAAAAAAAAAAAAAAAAAAAAAAAAAATCAACTGTCCCCCCTCCGACTAAAGTGACTGTTCCAGCCTTAACGGCCAATCAGATGGGAACCAAAGCAAAGGAAATCACTGCTTTCTGCAGGAGTGAATCATATTAGTGTCAAGTCTAGTTCTATCTGGGAGCTCTTTAAAAACAAAGGACGTTGGTGGCACATGCCTTTAATCCCACCACTTGGGAAGCAGAGGCAGGCAGATCTTTGTGAGTTTGAGCCCAGCCTGATCTACAAAGCTAGTTCCAGGACAGGCTCCTAAGCAGCAATACAGAGAAAGAAACCCTGCCTGGAAAAACAAAAAACCAAAAAAACTCCAAACAACAAAGGTCAACAGTGGCATCAACTGCATGTGGATTTTCAACTCTGCCAACTGTGGAGCCTGAGACCAGAAACTTCATTTCTTCACCTGTAAAGGAGGACATAAGCTATTTGAAAGGTCTGCTGCAAAGGCACAAGAAATAACAGGGTTGGTGCCTGGCCAATAGCACATGCCTGATGGGTTTGCTTTCACTCTGTCCTATAAATATGCTGTATACACATGGAAAGCCACCCTTTCTGGAAAGAATCACAAGAATTTAAGAGCGGTTTGGGGACAAGAACCCAGAGAAGAACGTTATTTCTCTTCATTTTGTATTTCTAAGTGGCTGTTTTCTAAGCATACATAATACAGATATATTTCTTGGGCTGTTCTCTTAAAATGTGTGGAAGTGAATGGAAGGCAGTAACTTAAAGATCATTTCACTTAATTATGTGTGTTATCAAAAACCTCATGGTATTTGAAGAAATGAACCAAGAAAAGTCATATCATCAGCTATACCCCAACAAAGCTGATGGAAAAAGAGAACTCAGCATCCCAAAGTGTTCAGAGTTAAAACCCTGTGGCAAGAGATAATGCAGCCTATACAAATGGAATCAGGGGCCGATTTTAACCCATTAATTTTCTAAATAATATGCCCTGACATTAATGATTTCCCAAGCAAGCAGGGCTAAAAGCAGTCCAAGCATTTAAAGGGTCCGAACAGATGAATGATTTGGCTGGCCAGCTCTCAGACAGAAGGGAATCTGCAGACAATGAATGTGCACGGTGCCTTTTGTTGCCCTTTAACCAAAGTTCTATCTAGTCAGGAATCCTTGCAGGCTCCTCAACCAGACTATTAATTAAAAAAAAAAAAAAAAAAAAAAAAAAAAAGTAATTTTAAATAATTACTTCTGAGAGGAAGGGAACATGTGCCACGGCACTGGTATGGAGGTTAGGGGACAACATTGGGGGAATCAGTTCTCCCTTCTAACACTGCGCCATGTTTTTTAAACGCTATGGTTTTCAACATTAAGGCAATAGGAATACTCACGTCAGTCCAAGAACCCTAGTATAAAAATCCAGGGACTTCTTAGGATCCTTAATTCTCAGCATCGTTTGCTGCATTAGGAAGTCCTAAGGAGAAACAAGTATCCATTAAGTATCTTTAGCTTTCAAGGTAGCAAGCAGCTTTCACTAGGCTTTCTGTAATGAAACAGATACCAGCACTGTAATGCAAACAGAAAACAGGAAAGGAAACCCCATCTTCAGTCTCAACAGTAGCTTCCTCAACCAGTTCCCATACCTACCTACAGCTCCACTCCCATGCTCTCTGCCCAGTGTGATCCAATTGCAGGCTTCTTCTGGGTGTGGCAGCTGAGAGCCAGTGAGTTACCATTCCAGCAATGCCCTTCAACAAACAGTGATTTGAAACACCTGGCTTTCTTAGTCACTGAGGCTTGGTGGGCATTTGAGCTTGTTTTGGGTTTGGGGCTGCAGAGGCAGTAGCTCATATAGCACATGCTGGCCTCAAACTTGCTGTGTCACCAAACTTGCTATGGCCCTTGACTGACCTTTCAGCTTTCACACACAAGTCCTAAGGTTATGGGAAAGAGCTACCAGCACCCGTTTTAGTGAGATGATTATGAAATGATTGACTCCAAGTGAAATGACTGCCTGAACCTCCCCCCACCGACACCTCCACACACACACTGGCAGAAAACTTTTTTTTTTTTTTGCTGGCAATCCACACTCTATGGGGTTTCCGGTGACAACCTTCCAAATAAACTACTAATGAGTGCATCCCTTCTCTACCTTGATTTTGTACAACTAAATCTACAATTTTATTTTGCTTAACAAAGAATCCAACACACATACATGCACATACACACACACACACACACACACACACACACACACACACACCTTTTTTCCTCCCTGGAGACAAGGTCTCATACAGCCCTGACTAGCTTGGAACTAACTAAGCAAATCTGATCTCACAGAGATCAGCCTGATTTCTCTTCCCTAGTGCCAGGATTAAAGGTGCAAGTTACCATGCCTGGCTCTACATTGCTTTGTTAGTCCTTGGGCTCTGGCACACTCTTTGCAGGAAGAAATTGCCTTGAGAAGCTACCTCACCTTGGTCCTTCCTGTCACCCTGAGACTATAGTGTCTATCAATTTACTGGTGACCATGTTAACTGGCAAGACCTTACAAAGGTCTCAGACTTCTGGAGAATGAAGAAGCAAAAAAGTGCCTTAACACCTTTGTGAAACCCTTCAATTTCCACAGGAAACAAAAAATAAACAATGTATGAATCCATAGGGTTAAAATTAAGACTAACACTTTGGTTAGGAGTTGATTTTGTTAGACATAGTAACCATCTTGTTTTTTGAGTCAGGGTTGCCTGTAGTCCAGACTGAACTTGAATTCACTAGATGGCCAAGGATGACCTTGAACTGCTAATATACCTGACTCTACCTGCTGGGATTACAAGTGTACATACACCGCCTTGCCCAGTTCTGGGAATCAAAGCCCAGGCCTTGTACATGCCCTGATAATAGTATGAAGTATTTATAAGCACAAGTATTATCTCCACTTATGAGAAGCCAACACTGAGTAATTATACTAATTAACTCTTGTATCAGGTTTTCTTTTACCACAGGCACCATTTACCCTAATCACTGTTATTCTATTATACTCGTGGACTTAACACAACAAGCCTGAAAACTCTGATCACCCTTTTCAGCTTTGATAGTTAATGCTGTCAGCTCACAAGATCTAGAATCTACATGAGGCAAGTCTCTGGGCACTATTTGGATTAGGTTAAGTCTCCAGGCATTTACGAAAGATTTAGGGACTTCTTTCTTTCTTTTCTTTTTTTTTGGGGGGGGGTAGGGGAGATTCAAGACAAGTTGTTTTTGCCTGTCCTGGAACTTGTAGACCATGCTGGCCTCCAACTCAGAAATCCACCTGGCCCTGCTTCCAAGATGCTGGGATTAAAGGAGAACCCCAACCACTTACCCAGGTTTGTTTTTTGTTTTTTGTTTTTTTTTTTTCAGTCTTACTTTTGGTTTGGATTGATTTTTTTCCAGAGCTGAGGACTGAACCCAGGGCTCTAAGTGATCTACCACAGAACTAAATCTTGAGTAGGTTAATCAAAGTGGGAACACCCACCACAAATATAGGTAGAACCATTCCATGGCATTGGGTCCTAGATTGCACAAAAAGAAAGCTAGCTAAGCACAAACAATCCTCACTCTCTGATTCCTGTCTGTGGCTGTGATGTGACCGGTAGCCACCTCCAGCTCCTACCACCATGACCTCCCCACCTTAATGGAGTATGACTAACTGCAAGCCAAAATAAACCCTTTCCCCCAAGTAGCTTTCATCAGGGTATGTTATCACGGTATTGTTGCTGTGGTTGCTTCAATAAAGAAGCTGACTGGTCAATAGCTGCACAGAACAAGGTTAGGCAGGAGAGCCAAACTAGGAGAATGCTGGAAGGAAGAAGGGCAGAGTCTGGAGTCACCAGTCAGACACGGAAGAAGCAGGAGATGAATGTTCCATGCTAATAAAGGTGCCCCACACGTGGTAGAGGGTAAATAAAGAATATGGGTTAACTTAAAATGGAAGAGCAAAGCTAGCAACAAGCCTGAGCTATTGGCTGGGCATTTATGATTTATATTAACCCTCTGAGTGATATTTGAGAGTGGCTGTGGGACAAGAAAAACTCCACCTACAAGTAACACTTCAGCCAAATAGCCTCCTCCCCCTAACTTACATCATCTGAAATACAAATACACTATTGTCTATCATGAAGAAATTACCTTAAAGAGCACTTAAATTCATCGTTCAGAGGTAGCAACCTCTGGCCAGATCTTTGGCCTAAAATGGAGTCACCTAAGATACCAAGATGGACAACCCCTGTAGGACCCCAGCCCCTTAAGGGAGATGGAAACTGAATGTTGTATACTTCTCACAAGTCTGCTGGCCCTTCGTCAGGGAGCTTGCCCACAGCCTCCTGCTGCTATTCTAAGGGCCAGAGGACCCCTTAACCCCCAATAGAACTTTGCTTACTTTTGCCTATGAGAATTCCTTTTTCCTTAATGTTCTTCTCCTGCCCAACTAAAAGCACCCCTATAAAACCCCCAAACTCCTTTTTGGAGGTGCCGCATCCTCTTCTCCTGGGGATAGCTGGGCAGTTCATACCCTGCTCTTTGAGCCTTAGTGCGGCTCTATGGTCCGTTTCTCTTACTATGCCACACAGCACCCAGGTAAGATGTGGCTGGCTCGAGGCTCCATTTTTCTGGATCCTCATTGTCTTTTCACATCCAGAGCTGCCATCCCCTTTGGCCATCAGATAAGGAGATGAGTAGCTCACTGGCCAGGCACTGACCATCCAGTTCTGTCCTCTGAACTTGGCCATGAAAATACCTACAAAGTCATTATGGGGCTACAGAGAAATGAGACAAAACAGACTTTTCACAAAGCACCAAGACCACTTTCTTGTCACATGCTGGTTTAAACAGAAAGTAAAACTATAACAAGCATCTCTCTCCCAGCGAATGTGAGTGCCTGCTGCTCCCCTATCAATTACTGGGCTTGTGTGGAGAAGCCAAATCTGCCGAGATGCTGATGTGTGCTCTTCCAGGCCACACAGAGGTAATTTCAAAGGCTGTCCTTGGCAGGCCTCACCAGAGAAAGCCGGCCTCTCACACTAGGTTTGGTACGGCCCCTGGGGGAAGGAAGAGTTGCAGATAAAAGAGCAGCTCTGAACACAGTCCAGATTACTTTATTACACATTAACTTGGGTTCTACTGGAAGCGACTCTGAAGATGGAATTAACTGACCAGATGGCCTTAAAATACAGAGATTGGGGTTGGAGAGACAGCTCAGTGGTTAAGAGCACGAACTGTTCTTACAGAGGACTCGGGTTCAGTTCCCAGCACCCACACTGGGTAGCTCACAACAATAACTCCAGCTCCAAGGTATCTGACACCCCTCCTGAACTCCACAGGTACTTACACTCACATGAACATACCCACACATAGACATGCCAACACATACTTAAAATTAAATTCTGAGCCAGGCAGTGGTGGCCCATGCCTTTAATTCCAGCACCAGTGAGGCAGAAGCAGAGGCAGGTGGATCTCTGTGAGTTTGAGACCAGCCAGGTCTACAAGAGCTCGTTCCAGAACAGCCTACAAAGCCACAGAGAAACCCTGTCTAAAACAAACAAAGAAATGAACAAAAAGGGGAAATCTTGAAAAGAGCAGGGGACAGACCAGCCTCAGTTAATAAGTGGTTCAATGCAATCACACAAGACCTTAAAAGCATCAGAAGATGGGAGTCAGCACACGACAGAGATGGTGAGGAGAGGTGTGGTTGCAGGGACATCAGAACAAGTAAGCTGTGGGGGCTGGTTGAGTGACAGACCACACCATTTTGGCCACTGACAACCAGCAAGGAAACTGGGGTGTTGGCCCAACCTCTGAAAAGGCATGAGATCAGGCAACAGCTGGAGCCGGAAGCAGATGCTTCTCTGGAGCCACCAGTAAGGAATGAAGCTCTGCCTATATCCTGATTTTAAACCAGTGGGACTCTTGTCAGACTTCTGTACAGCTGTGAGGTCATACACTTCTTTGTGTACCTATAGCTTGTACTTGTGTAGCAGGTACATACACACATGTGTGTCTATGTATGTGGAGGCCAGAGCGTTGTTAGAAGCTGTCTACCTTGTTCTTGAAGGCACAGTCCCTCATTTGACCTGGGGATCCCAGAACAGGCTGGCTGGCTGGCCAGAGACCTCCATGATCCACCTACCTCTGCCTCCTTACTGCTGAGCTTACAAATGCTCAACACTGTACCTGGCTTTTTTTTTTTAAACAAGGGTCCTGGGGGGTGAACTCAGGTCTCCCCAGCTGCATCCAACACCAATGGTCCTTTTCTTCAGTATCAAAAGGCATCCCTTTGTCATGCAAAGGGAAAAATACACATATATGAGAGGGACTATTTGTTCTGAGCTGGCAAAAACACAGGTCTACAACTGTGACAGTGACAAAGCCATTACTTCCTCAAGCTCTGTTTCCACGCCTTTGGGATGAACACAGTCTATTGCAGAGCTGAAGTACAAATTCAGTAATGTAGTAAAGTACATAGCAGAATGCCTGACCTGGGGCAAACCCCTTTGTTTGTCTTGCTGCTGCTGTTGTAAGACGAAGCCTGAGGTTCCATTACACTGTTGGTTTTGCTTACCAAATCTGCGTTCCCAGCTCAACCCTCTAACCTCAACTGTGGACTCCCACCTCTGGCCTAGCCACCACATCCACCTGTGCCAGAATATCAAAAGCACCGAAACCCAAACATAAGAGAGAATGCCCCAGCCACTCCTCATTAGCCCAAGTGAGATAGGCATGAAGTCTTCCTTGGCTCTTCTCTCAAGTCTCCCAGATTCAATCCTAACAACCTGAAGTGAACTGAACAAGTTCTAAGCCAAGCCTTGGCTGCTTAACCCCCTGGAAACCCTCCTTCTAGCCTTCCTAATAATCCATAGCTCAAGTCCTGCCCAGTTCCACCCAGACTGCTCTCTGCTTTTTGTAGGCTTACTCAAAAACAATTTGGAGTGATAGTTCTAGAATCAAAATCCTGGGTTAAACAAACAAAATCATAAATCCTTTGTCATGGACTCTCAAGGCTTCGGGAATAAAAGTCCACAAGGCCCCACATTTATTTGCTACACACTTGTTCAACATCTTTATCACTACTCCTCCCTTACACTGATTATTCTGACATTTTCTGTCAAATGCTTATCACTGGAAAAAATGTTCTCCCAACAAATATGTATTTATTTCCATTATATCTGTATTATATACTAGTATAATTCTAGCCTATGGATGTGTCTCCCAGGGTCACAGCACACACAGGCTTAGCAAGCCCAAAATTCTGGGTTCAACACACTCACATACTCACCAAGTAGAAATCTTTATAGGATGAGAAAAACAAACACTACAAGAGTTTTCAAATTTTGAGTACCCGATGATTGTTTTGTGTTCCCTCCCCCCCATTCTCTATCTACATTATATATATGTGTGTGTGTGTATGTATTGTATATACATTATATATAATGTACCTAATAAATATAAAATGTAGGTTTAGGTTTTACACACACACACACACACAATCATAACCTAACCTTCTTAGACATGACATTCAGGGTTCTCTCCTCATGACGGGTCTCCAATCTGCCTGGCTAGCCTTCTCTACCATTTCTTCATGTGACTCCCACCATCATAGGGCCTGTACTGCACCCTTGGACCACCCTACTGCTAAAGCAGTTTCCTTCCCTTCCCCTGGAATATCCCCACATAAATCTCTGGGTGTGGGAATCCAATCCATCCAACATGGTTCTACCAACACCTTCTGCTTAATGATTTACTCGACTCTTGCAGCTGAAACACTGCCTTGAGCTCTACCGTCACAGACTAGCATAATCCATGCCATGCCATCTCATCGTACTCACACCAGCTCTCTGGGTCATTTTAAGTTCCTTTTATGTGCCCCAGGAGCTCTGCCAAGATGGGAGTAATCAAGGACAAGAGGGTGCCAATGCAGGATTCCATATTTTAAAAGCTCTGTGCTTACAACACACCCACCACTGCTGTGACCTTAGAAAACTATGATGGTTCATCTCCAATTGACAACTTGAAAATGGTCTCAGAATCACCTAAAAGTTTGAGAGCAGCTTCACTGATTAGGGAAGACACACCCTAAACATGGGGTGTGGGGGGGGGGCGGGGGGAGACACGCCGTACCAAAGACTAGGCTTTCAGACTGAATAAAAAGTTGGAAGCCAGCCAGCTACACACACACAGAATCGTCTCACTGTACGTTCCCACTGCAAACACAATGTGACCAGCTACCTCACACTCCTGTTGCTGCTAGCTAGAGTCTCCCTTGCCCCATGCCTTCCCACCTTCATGGAATGCACCCTCGAACTGTGAGCCACAATTAGTCTTCCCTTGCTCATTAGCAGGTACTGTGTCACAGCAGTGAGAAAAGTAACTGCTGTGGAATAATCTTTTGCACACTGTGAATGTGTGTCATTCGGATTCATTTCATAAAAAGCTGAACAGCCAATCGCTACACAGGGTTTTGGGGGCAGAGAGAACAAGGAGAAGGAGGGTGGAGTAGCCAGCCAGACAAACAAAATTGGATAGAGGTAAAAGCCATGTGGTAGTATCTGGACTGAAACATATGGATTAATTGAAGTTATAAGAACTGATTAGAATCAAGCCTAAGATATCAGCTGAGCTTTCATGATGAATAAGTCTCCATGTGGTTATTTGGGAGCTGGCAGGCAGAACAGAAAAAAAAATCCACCTATACTATAAGTCACTAATACACTTGGAATGCTTTGTAGTGCCAAGACCCATTCACCTCAAGTCCATCAGAGTCGGTATGTTTGGGGAAGGGTGAAGCCCTCATCTTGTTTATGCCCACCCAAAAATGCCTACCATGTTCTTTGCAGTTAGTATACAATCAAGCTAACTTTTCCTTCTAATTCATGGCAAGTTCTACAATTACACTTTGAGATATCTCAGAAGAAGAAAGGGTAGTGGCTGGCAGTATGGGTTCCTCACTAGGCAAGTCACTCAATACCTGTGTCTAAATCCTCTTATTTGTAAAATAGAGACAATCCTCCCTTCCTCATGGAACGGTTATAAATTAAAACATCAACTCAGGACCTAGCACACTCAACATACACCAGATGTCATGTAATTCTCTTTACATCTCCAAATGCTATGTCCATGACCAAAAATGCCCAATATCAAAAGATAATTGCAAATCAAGAGAAAGTTGGAGAAAGTGGAATGTAATCAAGATAAATACATTTCATATATTTTTAAAGATCTCCCTGGGATTTTTATTTTATTCATTCATTCATTCCCTTTTTAAATTTTATCTACATTTTATTTATTTTTGGATGTTAAAGACTGAATTCAAAACCAAGCTCTGCTCTATACCACACCACATCCCATGGGAATCTTACTGTTTGAAACAGGATGTTACCTAAAACTCCCAGTTACATAGGAAATTAGCTGACACAGAATAGTACCTGGAACCTGATTTTGCAATGTAAAGAACAGTCTAGCAAGAGCTGGATGTGATGTACAATCCTTTAATCCCAGCACTTGGGAAACAGGCAGTTGGCTCTCGATAAGTTTGAGGCTAGCCTGGTTTACAATTTCCAGACCAGGCAAAGCTGTATAGCTAGACCATGTCTAAACAAACAAAGAAATGAAGAATATAAGAAAATAAAACAGCTAAGTTGGTTAAAAAAAAAAAAAGAAAAGAAAACTATGAGAAATGTAGGAAGCTAATTCACATGGAATGAACCAGTTTATAGTATACTAAAATAACTAGGGGATTGATGAGATGGCTCAGCTGGTAAAGTCACTTGCTGCTTACTAAGCCTGAAGAAAGACCTGAGTTTTATCCCCAGTACCCACATACACAAAAAGAAAGCTGCCCAGATGTATGCATGCACGCACACACGTTTAAAAATTAAATGCATACTTAGGTGTGTGTAAGTGGAAGGTGAGGTGTGTAAGTGGAAGGTGCCTTAATTTTCTTAATGACTCAGATCTAAGTACACACCTCGTGCAAGTCAAAGGCATCGGCAATTACAGTATGTCTGACTCTCACTGCCCTTAAGGCAAAGAACAAGCAGGGAACAAAGCTCATCACCATCTATCTGCCCCTCCTAGAAGCCCGCATAAAGCTCACATTCAATCTTCAAGGGATTTACAAATGATACACCTAAATGAACATATGCAAAAGTGTTTACTGACACAGATGACTACACAAGACTAAATTCCTCCGTCAGCCACAAAGCCTAACTTTTGGCGGTGTAGAGACAGTAAGGCACCACACCTAAATGAGTTCTCATTGACTTTAAGTACAGTGGTGTTACTTGAAAGCTTTCCCATGCCACGGGTTATGCCCCTTCAAGGGCCAGAAGAGTGTCTGAGAGCCCCTTCAGATCCAAGTCCTGTAATCTCCCCACCAGACCCACGGTGGACAGAAGTGTGGTCCTGGCAACAGCAAAAGCCAAGAAACGTGGTTAAATTGGAGCAGCCGCCGCAGTTTGGAGGAGAGAAAGCTGGAGGCAAGGCGACTACAGAAAATGAGTGCGGCTGGGAGGGACCAGTTATACATAGCTCTTCAGCTATGGGAGTTCTGGAACTGCCCCTCTAAAGGGCCATGGCGTCTGATGGAGGGGCAACTACACCGAGATTTGGGCTGGCTTCAAAACACCGTGCAAAAATAAACAAATTAAGGCACATGGGGTCAGATGTTTTGAAATAACTTTCTGAAGAAGTTGTTCCCCCGCTGCTCTGTTTCCCTCCCTGGGCCTTATCTTTCCAGCTCATTCCACTGAGCCTTAAGCCGGCGGACCTGCAGCTGCAGTTAGGCACGGGCCTGCCGGGCCACAGTCCCAGGTCCGCTCCGGCAGCCAGAGGCCCTGTCGCCCACCTTGGTGCTGGGGTCCGGGTCCGAGCAGCAGCTAACGGCGGCTTCATCCGTGAGGCCGCTAGGCGCGGGTTGTGGCTCTGCCATGGCCGCCTTGGAGGATCACTGACCAGTTCTAACAAACCAGCGGGCCAGAAGCTCCGCAAAGACCGTGGGCCGCTGGTGCAATAGACTGGGTGACTCGCAAGGAGCGGGCCACCGCGGCTCCCAGCCAATCGTGATGCGTATGGTTGTTGGCTTGCTGCTGATTGGATCCCGATATAGCAAAACTACAATTCCCAGGATGCCATTGTGCACCATGGCGGCAACTCTTTAAAAAACTTGGCGCTTGATCTGCGGTTTGGATGCAAACTAGCCATCCCTCAGGGCATCAGCTTCGCAGAAAACTTCAACCTGGTGAAAGTTACTCTTTTTAGAATAATGAGAGTTTCAACTCGGAGTTAGTTTGTTTTTTTTTTTTAATTGTGTAAGAATCCTAAGTTTATTTTCTCACTTGAATTGGCCAGGATAACCGAAAACAATTCGAGTTTAGTTAAAAAAAAAATCTATTAAGTTTAAGTATTGCTTGTACTATATATTGGCCCCAGGATCTTGGTATAGTTACTGATCTTCACAGAGCCTCTTTATAGAATTTGGACTTTATTGAGAATTGAATGAGGTCTAAGCCATGGGTTGACTATGCAGTACAGACAAAGCACCTGAGACTGAATGGGATTTTAATGATTCAGTTCTGCACACAGAGTGTGTATACAGAAGCCATAGGATGTCACATCTTAAATTAGCTTTTAAAATGCTGTGATTGGTCATGTACGGCGACTCACATCTGTAATCCCAGTAATTGGGAGGTAGAGGCAGGAGGATTCAGAGTTCAAAGCCAGTGTGGACTACATAGTGAATTCAAGAACAACCTGGGATTCATGAGACCCTATCTTAAAATAATTACTAATAAATAATAATAATAATAAGGCAGCTTTTGTTCTTGGGGAGTCTTCACTTGGCCTGCCTCTCTCTTTTTCTTCCTCCTTCCCTCCCTCCTTCCCTCGATCCCTACCTCCCTCACTTCCTCCCTCCCTTCCTGCCTCTTCTCTACTACCACATGAACTATACTATGGAGAGAAATGTGACAGAAGCTGGTATCTCTCATGTTACAACATGTAACAGAAGAAACACCATTGAAAGGGACAAAGACAACCTGGTGTTGGGTGAAGAAGGTATGGGCCATACACAAATAAGGCCAGTACAGGTTCCATATGCAGAATATGTAAAAATTCTTACAAAGTGGAGAAAAAACATAAAACAAAAAAGTAGCACAGAGAAGAAATAGGCAGATTTTAGAGAACACAGATTGTGGACTCCAACCTTTTCCATACCCTCAGGCTAAGTTTTTAAAGTTAAAAACCATCACTGTTGTGTTACTGTGGAAGGCAGAAGAACACTGGGATTAACAAACATTGGCTGGCAGAAACCTAAATTATTAGAAATGTTGGAAGACTATTTGACAACATTTAGTAGAGTTGAAGGTAGCACACTCCAGGATTCACTATTAAGTTTTTATCCTAGACAAAGCTTATTATACTCCATGTGACAAATAGAAGAAACATGGTTTGAATGGGGGGACATGGCAAGAGCTACTTGTTCAACAACAGGAAACTAGACAGGTTACCATTTTCATAAGACTGGATAAAAAATCAACCAGAAATACATATTCCAAAGTGGATAAGCCCCACCGACAGAAATGAAATAAATGAGCTGACACAGTCTCAGTTGGCCTGAGGACCTGAATTTGGATCCCCAGAAAGCTGTGCTCTGTGGTGTGTGCCTGTAATCCCAGGGAGACAAGCAGATTCCTGGAGCTTGTTCGTTAGCCAGCCTAGCCAAATCTATGAGTTTCAGGTTTAGTGGGAGGATCCTCCTCAAAAATATAAAAGGTGGAGGGAATCAAGGAGAGACACATGACACCCATTGATGCTCTTTCCATCTGTAGGCAAATGTGCTGACAAGTATCATACACCCAGGAAACACTACACACAGGGTAGGGAACACCACACACACACACACACACACACACACACACACACACACACACACACACACGAAGTAATATCAGTGTGTTGTTGGTTACTTTGCCCTTTGGCTCTTCTGTGCTTTTTTGGGGGCCCACCACCCAGCTCCAAATAAATTGCACACAGAGGCTTATTCTTACTTATAAATAAGCCGGTCCTTAATTTGGCTTATTTCTAGTCAGCTTTTCTTAAATTATCCCGTCTACCTTTTGCCTCTTGGCTCTTACCTTTCTTTATTTCTGTTTATCTTTTGTGTCCTTCTTATTCCATGTCCAGCTGTGTGGCTGGGTGGCTGGATGGCTGGTCCCTTCTTTTTTCACTCCTCATCTTTCTTCCCAGATATTCTCTCTGCCAGCCTCACCTATCCTTTCTCCTGCCTAGCTACTGACCATTCTGCTTTTTATTAGACCAATCAGGTGTTTTAGACATGCAAAGTAACACGACTTATCAGAGTTAAATGCAACATAAAAGAATGCAAGATACATCTTCGCATCATTAAAACAAATGTTCCACAGCACAAACAAATGTAACACACTTTACAATAATATTTCACATTAGTGTAATTGTTAAAAAAAAACACATAATACAATATCACTTTTCAAAAGATTTAAAATATGTAAAACAATACAGTGTATTATTTATAGCCAAACACAATCCAGTCATGAAATCTGGAGGCTCCTAGGAATAAGCAAGTTCAAGGTCAAGAACTGGATTTCAAAGAGTGGCACACACCTTTAATCCCAGCACTCAAAAGGCAGAGGCAAGCAGACGTTTGTCAGTTTGAGGCTGGCCTTGTCTACAAAGAGAGTTAACTTGTTACAATCATATCTTTTGTCTACCATGAGGAAGGAGAGAGACAACTTCTGGGCTTCAAAGTCTTTAATAAACTACCACATAAATGGGGTTGCTGATGGAGCAGGGCTGCAGGATAAGGACTCAGGTGGGAGCCTAGCTTCCCTGACAGCCCCCGGAAGGCACAAGCAGGGTTTATAACCCCAAAAGTATAAACACACCTGTGCTAAATTACAGTTACATCTTTTACCCATCAGGATTGGGGGATGGAGTGGGGTGGGAGAGGGGGACTTTCCTTAAGTGTTCCATCATTGTCAACTGGCATAGAATGAATGCTTTTCAGTCCAACCAATCAGATTTATTTGTTTTCTGTTGTTAGCAACAGTCATAATGTTCTAGAGAACTGAGGGCATAAAGGACTATTTCTGTTGTTGAAGAAGAAGGTTGGTCAGCCATTGGAAGTCCCCAGCTCCCCTAGGGCTTGGGAACCTGAAATTTGTTCCAACCCTACAGTTAAAATGGAGTCTGGAGTTAAAAAGACAGCACTTAGGACAAGGTGCTTTTGCTTGCTCCCTTCATTCTAAGGACAAGAAAGACAAGAGAGGGAGATCTCCAGGGAATGTAAGAGTGGACTGTGCTTCATTTTAAGGTACACATTATTTATATATAGGTTAATGTTCTATAATATCTCAAAAAAAAAAAAAACTAAAAATGTAAGTACTACATGTACAAGCAAAAGAACATATTCTGGGAGAGAAGCAATTTAGAAATGGTCCCTATTTAAGCAACTCTGAATTCCAATAATTTCCAAAGAGCTCCCTACCCCCTTGTTTTGAGACAAGTTATCTAGAACTCCTTATAGCTGAGGAAGATCTTGGATACCGGATTCCCCTGCTCTTTATTAAGGTGCCTTGGCAGAGACATGTCTTCACAGCGTTTTTAAAAAATTATTTCACAAATTTAATCGAATTTGTCAAGACTCTAATGCCAAATAACATCACAGTCTTCAGGGGACACAATTCAACCCATAATCAGGGACATGGATCTGTTACTTTGCTTTCATTTCCCAAGACAGGGTTTCTCTGTGTAGCCCTGGCTTTCTTGGAGCTCTCTCTGTAGACCAGGCTGTCCTCAAACTCACAGAGATCCTCCTGCTGTGTGACACCACCACCTGACAAAAATAAATCTTTAAAAATTAATTGCATACATTTTACTAAAATGTTTAGTTACTTAAGTTGTTATCCCACAGCAAGACTATGTGGTTTTGCTAGGACAATGACAGCATAACAGATACTGATAACCTGTGCAGTTTTGTTGAATTTACCCTGTGACAGCTGAGCATTTTGAGTAATTTGTTTGGACTTTTTATTTTTGTCAACAACATATTGTTTTGCCTACTCGATGAAGCTCCAAGCCAAACTCATCATGAAGTTGTAGAGTTTTGAAACCCGAAGAAAGTTAGAACATTTGTTCTTCAAATGAGGACACACAGGAGTAGAGTTGATTTCACAATTGGGATGAGTCAACAAATTAATTATAGCTAAGGAGGACAATTACAGGACTGCATCTCAGGTTTTCTGATTACCAGTTCAGTACTTTTGTTCACTACAGTAGTACACTTTACTAAAACTGCTGCTAATCACAGTGAATATAGGTTAGGCCCTTTCCATGTGCTACTGTGCCAAATGATTCTTATATAATCCCCTTGTGTTTTCTAGGACATTTTCTTCTCAAGGTCCAGGGCACTTAATGTCTTAGACATATATATATGTCATGGCAGTGGAAGCTTGAGGCAGCCAGTCTCACTGTTTATGAAGGTGAGAAGCAGGAAAGATGGATGCTGATGCCCAGCTACTTACCCCTTTGTACTCAGTCCAGGACCTCTGTCCATGGGATGGTGTTTCCCACTTGTAGAGTGGGTCTTTCTATCTTGTGTGTGTGTGTGTATGTGTGTGTGTGTGTGTGTGTGTGTGTATCTGTGTGTGTGTGTGTGTGTGAATGAGTGACATACTATCACATGCTATATGGTGTTTACATTCTTGTGCCTCGAGAGAGCTGTTTTATTTGGAGTTTTCCTGTGTCTTGGGCATCCCAAGAGTGATCTCATTTGTCACTGATCCATGAACCTAGTTTTCTGCCAAACTAATGAAGCTATTGTATCAATCCTGGTATCCACAAACACAATATAGCAACATGAAAGCTTCCAAACAAAACTCTGTATCTGTTTAGTCTTATTTCTTTTAAAAAGGTTTGTTTTTGTTAATTCT